GCCAAGGGCAGCCTCTCGGGAAAACAGGTGTCCTTGTTCCCCGCGGTCATTTTCTTAGTGTTAACTGATCAGAAAACAAAACAACAGCAAGAACACCATTCCCTCCTCTGGAGGCCAGAGGGTGGGAGGCACGGCTGCGGCAAGTGGGTCCCCCTCCTGGAGCAAAACCCACATTTCTTGTCTTCTTTGGAGAAATGTCTACTCCAGTCCTTTGCCCATGTTTTAGTTAAGCTGGTTTTTGTTTTTGTCGACCACACTTTTTATAAGTGGTCTGTGTCATGTGAGCTGTGTGGCCCTGCTCTGTTTGGGCAGCTTACCTTCTCTGAGGACAGGCATCTTCTAGGAATAAAGCCATCCTCCTACCTCAATACTGATATTTGTACCTAAGAAAATTAACAGTAACTCCCTCAGTTTTGAGTGACTGTGAATTCCACCCCAGCCGGGAGCCTGTGGAACATGAGCTCACAGTGCTGACAATCAGGCAGAAGAGCAGGCGCACCAGGGCTGTCCCAGGCGAACCGAGACGGCCGTCACTGCCTGATCCCAACTCTGCGCCGTCTGTTCAGTCTCCCAGTGGTCCCCAGACGTCCTCCAGACCAGCACAGCCAGGCTGCACTCTGCGTCCCGTCCTCATCTCTGCAGCCTCCTCCTGCCCTTTCCCCTCCGGCTGACTCTTTGAAGTGACCGGGTCAGTGGTCTGGGAATGGCCCCCTTTCTCCCTGAGGCCGGGTGTTTCCTCACTGGGTCATTTGACCTCTTCCTCACCCCTGTGTCTCCCATCACTGCAGTTTAGTCCAGGGGGTCATCGCCTCGAGTTGGTGTGTACATCTGGGGGCCATGGTTCCACACCTGCACGTGCTCTGTCCCGAGCTTCTCCTCATTGCTCTCCCGTCCATTCACCATCCTTCCCCGAGTCAGTGATCTCACTTGGGCTGCAAAACAGGTGATCTTCTAATTCCACCGTTCCTTCCAAATCATTACCAGACGTTCTTCTGTGAGAAAGGCCTTTCCCTCGTCAGCTGAGGATGGACCCCAGTTCCTCTAAGAAGGCAGGACAGCAGGACAACTTCAGTAACCGGTTTCAGAGTAGAAGTAGATATGATGGTCTCATGGTCACCTCCAGGGGCAGGTGAGATGCTCTCTCAGCCTGTCTCTGTGTCTTTCTGTGTCTGTGTGTCTCTCTGTGTCTCTCTCTGTGTGTTTCTGTCTGTCTTTGTGTGGCTCTCTGTGTCTATGTATCCTCTGTGTCTGTGTGTCTCTGTGTGTGTGTCTCTCTGTATATGTCCATTTCTCTGTCTGTGTGTCTCTCTGGTTCTGTGTGTTTCTCTCTCTATGTGTCCTCTGTCTCTCTCTGTCTGTGTGTGTCTCTTTCTGTGTCTGTCTGTCTCTGTGTGTGTCTCTCTGTCTCTCTGTGTCTCTCTCTGTGTCTCTGTGTGTATCTCTGTCTGTGTGTGTGTCTCTCTCTGTGTCTCTCTGTCTCTATGTGTCTCTGTCTCTCTGTGTGTGTATCTCTGTGTGTGTGTGTCTCTCTCTCTGTCTCTCTGTCTCTATGTGTCTCTGTCTCTCTGTGTGTGTCTCTCTGTGTCTCTGAGTGTATCTCTGTGTATCTCTGAGTGTATCTCTGTGTATCTCTGTCTCTGTCTCTGTGTGTGTCTCTCTATATATGTCCATCTCTGTATCTGTGTGTCTCTGTTTCTATGTGTGTCTCTCTCTGCGTGTCTCTCTGTCTCTGTGTGTCTCTCTGTATATGTCCATCTCTCTGTCTGTGTGTCTCTCTGTGTCTGTGTGTTTCTCTCTCTGTGTGTCCTCTGTTGTCTGTCTGTGTGTGTCTTTTTCTGTGTTTCTCTCTCTGTGTCTCTGTCTCTGTGTGTCTCTCTCTGTGTCTCTCTGTCACTGTGTGTCTCTCTGTGTCTCTGTCTGTGTCTCTCTCTCCCCATTATGAGCTTGTGGATTTTTCTGTGTCTAGCAGGGCCCCTGCAAGCTGGCTCCAGGCCCTGTTAACAGCCCCGTTGATCTCTGAGTGCGTCCTTTCTCTCTGGGTCCTCCATGCCTCCCAGACCCGTGCCCCAGAGCCGAGATCAGCCATTTCTCCAAGAAGCACATGAATGATTTTTAAAATCGATTTCAGAATTGAATGTATTTTTCAGAATCGTCCTCGCTCTTCCCCACATGCACCCACCCGATGTGACTCATAGCAGCAGGCAGGTTTGGGGCAGCTTCACCCCTATAAAACCCAGCACAGTTCCTGGCACACAGAGGCACTCAATAAAAAATAAATAAATCAAGTCGTTTCCTTCCTTCCGCTAGACTAGCAACTTGAGCTGAACCAAAGCATGAATCTAAGCCCAAAATAACCCGCGCTGATTCACTGTGTCTAATTCAACTTAATCAAAATATCAATTTTGTACTGAATCAGACACTGAAAAGAATAAACCAGGGAGCTACAGCTTTTGAGCAACGTGTTTTTTAAAACCACTGAACCCAGGCGAGACCAGAACCCCAAGGTTTTAGATGCACAAATAATCTGATACTTTATTTGGCTAAAATTACTTCACGCCATCTTTCAGCTGTTTTTAAACCACCCTAGAGATGGATCCTCGCTCTGTTTCTAAATCATACTGAAGGAAGTTCCACTGTCTCCTTGGATAATACAAGCCAGTGCTTTAATTCGGGATCTTTTCATCACGAATAAGCATATTTAAAGTTTCCTTCTGCGATTTCGGCCCCTCCTCCTGCTTGATCGAGTAGCCCCCAGCTCTGCATACGCCACGTGCTGTGCCGCCCGAGCCTGTGCTCAGCAGCACGTTTCACAGAGGGCGGCTGGGCAGGTGGCCTGGCGGGCGAGCCTCACTCTGTCGGCACCAGGGACACAGTAGCCCGTCGGTGTCCGCTGGGCGGTGCATCAGCTCCTAGGTGATGCTCCGATGTTAGCCGGCAGGGGCTCCCGCAGCAAACCCCGCAGACAGTTTCCTCACGGTTCTGGAGGCCGGGCGTCCCACATGAAGAGGCCGGCAGATCCGGTTCCTGGTGGGGACTCCTCTAGCTGTGTCCTCACACCAGGTGCCCTCTGGTGTCTCCTCCTCTTACCATGTGGACACCAGTCCTCTGGGGTCAGGGCCCACCCTACGACCTCATTTAACCTTCATCACCTCCCGCCAGGCCCATGTCCACAGTCACACTGGGGGTTCCAGCCTCAACCTATGAATTAGAGGGGACACAGTTCAGTCCACAGCAATAACCAACCCTTAAGAAATGCTGCATCCTTCCATGCACTTGTAAAGCATCGGTGGTTCTGTGACCCCATTTTGCAGACGGCACGGCCCAGAGGAGGCTCAAGGACAGGAGGGTTCGGCCCATAAGTGGCAGCGTGGTCTGAGTTCACACCTGTGCTCGCCGTCTCTCCTCCCTGTTGTCTGGAGAGCACAGTACCCACTCTGTTTGCAGGGTGGAGGCGGGAGACGCCCAGCTTCTGCGCCTGGAAATCCTTGGCTGTGCTGGGCTGCCTGACAGATGCCCTGTTGGTGCTGGGCTGGCCTGGAGCAGAGATCTGGGACCAGCCGCCTGACGGATGTTGCTGAGGGGCCTCGCCTCAGAGGACCTGCTCCCCACACCCGCCCCATAGTTAGTTTAGGACGTGACAGGGTCCTGCAGAGGAAAGTGACGGAAATGGACATACAAAGCCGACAGTGCCTGGAGCTGCCGCGTTTCGTCATCAGACAGTCACACCCAGAGTCAGAGGTCAGTCTCCAAGGCAGGAAAAACAAACGTTTCCTCGATGTATCCTCTCATCACAAGGCGTCAGTGAGATCTGGAGCGGGAAGGTGTAGACAGACACGGACCACGGAGCCAGGCCCACCTGGATTCACGCCGACAGGAATTGGCTCCGGCTCGCTGAGCTTCAGCTTCCTCATCGTGAAGCCAGACTGGAAATACCCACCTCGGAAGAGAGCACAAGAAACAGGACCACAGGCCGGCTTGCCCCAGTGTACACGTGACTCGCAGAACTCAGCCCCACGTGCTCCCAGTAGGAAGGGCAAATGCACGAAAGCCACTGTCCGTCAGATCTTGAGCTTCCTAAGCTCCTCAGTCTTCTGAACAACACAGCGGAGTCCCGCGTGCTCCTGTGGACGTGTCCTGTGCGTGCAGGACAAGCCTGGCAAGTCCTGAGAGCAGGTGCCCACCTCCCAGGGTCAGCGGCCCAAGATGGTCCCAACCGCATGGTGGACACGTGACCCTGCCTCCCACATGGGTGTCTACGCTCTCCCACGCCGGTGTCTACACTCTCCCACCTGGGTGTCCATGCTCTCCCACGCAGATGTCCACACTCTCCCACCTGGGTGTCCATGCTCTCCCACGCAGATGTCCACACTCTCCCACATGGGTGTCTACGCTCTCCCACGCCGGTGTCCACGTTCTCCCACCTGGGTGTCCATGCTCTCCCACGCAGATGTCCACACTCTCCCACACGGGTGTCCGCTTTCTCCCATGAATCCCTGGGAATGTCTTCTGCATGGACTCCAGCTTGCTGTGGTGGCTTGAAGTCCTGGTTTGTCACCGCCTATTTGCCAGCCTCCCTGCTGCCCGTCTCCCACACTTCAATAGATGATCTCTGTTATCTTGGGAACCCAGAGCTGCCTGTCCACACGCTCTGGGCGAGCAGCCCAGTGTGGATGGTCCTCGGTGCTGTGGATCCGTCTTCTCTGGTGCCTCTTCCAGGAGGGGCGCTTGCTAACTGGAACCCGTCTTCTTAGGGGAGGACCCAAAGGAACCAGCACTGGCCCCTGTGGCAGAGAGGGGCTGACTTACCTTCTGAGGCGGGTCAGAGAACGTCCCACAGACGGGCAGGGGCCTGTTTAGATGTTCTCTGTTCTTGGCCTTGAGGGCAGCGCGGGGTAAAGAAGACCTCGTTCCTGGCCGAGAAGGCAGTTTGCCACACGCTGGACATAACAGCCATTTTGCGTGACTATGTTTCATTTTCACAACCTCCGCTCTCTTCTCAGGGTGAAGCACGGAGATGGCGTGGGGTCCACACGTTGTTTAGCTAAATCTTTACTCTGAGCAGAGCCCCGGAGAGCAGACGCCCGTCCTCCAACCCCACTGGATCTGGTGGACAGGAGTGAAGCGTGTTTAGCCTAAACCCCAGGTCTAAGTTCACCAGGTCGGTAACACACTTCCTGTCTACGGGGACACTCAGGCCAGAGTCTCCGTGGTGGCGTGCGGCCACGCGAGAATCTGGCTTCCAGGAAGAGCATTTGATTGAAGGTGGCGTTGTCCCTCTGAGCTTTAAGTGCTGGCACCGTCCTGAACATGCCGGTGGGCTGACCCACCAAACACTCACAGAGACGATGGCAGAAGGACGTTACGCAGAACCGTGGCGGGCAGCGCTGTCTGGGAGGGTCGCGGTTTCCCGCATGAAAGGACTCTCGGCCGCGATCGTCAGGCTCCCTCCCTCGTTCCCATTTTCATCTCTGATGTGAAGTTTTCTCCCAGCATCAAAGACAAAATAACTTTTTCATTTGCTTGAGGAGCCGCCTTTCCAGCGCTTTCAGAACCTGGAGCTTCCTGCGCCCTCGCGGCTGTTCCGAGGCTGCAGCTGCAGTTCGGGTGGGCCGGGCCATCCCCCTGTGACGCTCAGCCGCACCAGGACAGGACGCGCCTGCCCCACAGTATTCCCACCTCTGTGCTGCCCGCTTTCCTGGGTCCCCACATGCCCACGTGTCTGCACCCCGACCTCGACGGGCGCCCCGCTTGTGCAGCTGTGTCTTGTCTGCGTCAGTAGCATTGTGCGACAGTGCTCGCTCGGCTCCTCTCGTTTTTCCCAGGAGCCGGGCTTTGAGATGTGCACGTCCTGCTTGTGTTCATCTAGTTGTGGGCCCGACTCCGTCTGACCCCTTATCTGATGCCTGCCATCTCTGCGCTGACCACATCCTGCTGTCCGCCCCCGTGGCAGGAGACACCGTGCGCGCACCTGTCCCCTCCTTCTCTCAGGAACGGATCTGAGCTGTGACTTGCTGCTGGGGGTGGCCGCGTAACTGCATCTCACCTACGAGATTCTTAGGGGACGCGGAGGGTGTGCCTTCCAGGCCAGGGGTGTGTTCCCACCGTCCGTCCCTCCTCCCAGCGGCTGCACCGCCCTGACTGGCCTAGAAACCGGCTACAGCCTGCAGACAAGGCAGGTGAGACGGCCACGGGAGAGCAGGAAAGGACGAGGCCTCTGCTGACCCCGCTGCCCCGGCCCCTCCCCTGGGTCCAGGCCGCCTCCAGGCCAACCTGAGGAAGACGGAGGCCCACGTCCCCTCACAAGTTCTCCCCCAGTGGCCGCAGCACCGCGGACGCCTCGTAAGCACCACTGCGAGAGTGAATTTCCACCTAAGAGCAGGCTGCGTCCCCTCCCGGCTGGCCAGACGCTGTCCAGAGCGCCAGCCGCAGCGGCCAGCTCAGTCACCACCTGACGCACTGGCCCCACTTACACACCCACCTTGCTGTTTTTCCTTTTGCCGTTCCGATAGCGTAAAGTGCTTCCAGTTTACCTGGCGTTTCTTGCTCACTAGTGAGTCTCCGGAAGTGTCCGCAGGTCTGCTTCCCTGAGGCCCCCTCCAGGACTGGCTGCGCGTCGGCTCCTCATTTTCTGTAGGATTCCCTTCTTCTCTTGTTGACTTGAAGTCCTTGAATGCTCTGCGTGCAGCTCCACGTCAGCCTCAGACGTGGTGAGAAGCCTCCTCCGGGATCCCGGCTGTCTGCTCACTGTGTCTTCAGGGACCGTCCACCGGTCCTTCACCTGGTGATGTGTGCTCCTGGAGTTTGGTGAGAATCCCTCTCCTGTTCCTGGGTCTCAAACAGCTGCACTTTCTTCCGTGAGCTTTGTAATTTTACCTCTCACGTTTGAGGGTTTAATCCAGGTGATGTCCACACTGGATACAACAAAATTAAGGATCCGACTCCATTTTTTTCTCCATTTAATGAGCAAGTTTCTCAACCTCAACCTTTGAAAGAATCTGTCCTTTCTCTCTCGGTTGTGGTCAGTCGTGTTCACTACATATCCAGTCCCCCTGTGACTCCAGGTCTGTCTCCACATCCTCCTTCGTTCTGTGACTCCATCTGTGGCCCTACAGCAAACCATATGGCTCTGTCAGTGCGGTTCTGTCATATGTCTCACCACAGGCAGGGAGTCCCCATTTGCTGTACATTTTAAAATCGACTTTGCTGTTCATGTATTTTTGTTTTTCATATAGATTTCAAATTATATTTTTCAGCTTACCTAAAATTCCAGCTGGAATTTTTGTTTGCATTGCAAAGAATGCATTTGAGGGGCCGGCCCCATGGCCGAGTGGTTAAGTTCGTGCGCTCCGCTTCCGTGGCCCAGGGTTTCACTGGTTCAGATCCTGGGTGTGGACCTAGCACCGCTTGTCAAGCCACAATGAGGCAGCATCCCACATAGCAGAACTAGAAAGATCTACAACTAGAATACACAACCATGTACTGGGGGCTTTGGGGAGAAGAAGAAGAAGAGGAGGAAGAGGAAGAAAGAAGAAAGAAGAAGGAAAAAAGAAGATTGACAACAGACGTTGGCTCAGATGCTGATCTTTAAAAAAAAAAAAAAAGAAAGAATGCATTCACTCAGGATTGACATCCTTACCATTGCACGTCCAAAAGCTTGTCTCCCCATTTGTCCACATCTTCGTCTCTGTCCTTCAATAGAGTTAAAAATGCTTCTTCATAAAAGTCTGGTGCATCCTTCCTTAGGTCAATTCCTGACTCCTCATTGAGTAGACATTCATTCCTTTAACACACACTCACTGAGCGCCTCTCACTGTTCTGAGCACTGAGGACACGGAGTGAAGGAAACAGAGCAGCCCGACGAGGCGAGATTCCGTGTCAAGATGTGGAATGTGGGGCTGTATGCAGATCGTAGCTGAGTGTAAAATGGTACAGAATGTAAAGGGATAGCCTAGAGCTTATGTTTTTATTCTATCGTAAATGATTATTTACTTATTTACTATATATTTTGCTTTTTATTTTATTACCGTAATATTTCACCATTAGAGCATTTGAATACACTTATTTATTTACTATGATACTTTCTAGTTGATTATTGATGAGGTAGAGCAATGATTCTGATTTTTGTAAGCCAGTCGTGGATCTGGCAACTTTGCTCAATTTCCTATTAATTCTAAAAGCTTATTGATCCTATTGAGGTTTCTGTGTAGATGAGCTTTTCCACTGTGGGTAATAACAGTTTATCTCTTTCTTTCAATCTTCAACCTTATTATTTTATTTTCATGTCTTATACCTTTGGCCAGGACATTGAGTGTTATGTTAAACAGTAGCAATGATACCAGGTACCTGTGTCTTGTTTCTGATTTTGGTATGAATTATATAAGTTTTATCTATCGAGTGTGATGTCTATTATAGGTTTTGATACATTGCCTTTCTCAGGTTAGCAAATTTCCTTCTATTCTTTGTTTTCTGAGACTTCATCATAGACAAGGGTTAAATGTCATTAAGGGAATTTTCTGCATCTGCTTAGAACACAATTTGATTATTCTCCTTTAGTCCACTGTGTGCTGTGGTAGCTTAAGAAAAATGGTCATAAATTGTTTGACAGTCTTCCTATTGAGAGGTGGGGTCTCTGTCCCCTCTCCTGGACCTTGAGAAGACAATTTCTTTGACCAAAGGACATGATGAAAGTGACGTTGGGTGACTTTATGACAAGTTAGTAAGTCCACCTGATTTCCTGGGTCTCTCCATCTGGGGGAGACCAGCTGCTGTGCTGGAAGTCTGAGGCCACCGTGCTCGAGAGACTGATGCAGGCGTGTGGGTTGAGCCACGAGAGTGAACCATCTAAGAAGCTGGACCCAGTCAGAAGGAGACCCAAGCAGAACTGCCCGTGTCCCAGGCTTCTGACCCGTGAAGTCCTAGCCAGGCAAGCCGCTGAGTTGGGCAGTTTGTTCTGCATCAGCGGTCGCTGGAATGTGGCTTCTCACTGACAGGCTTCCCAATGTTCCCGTATCCGAGCGTTCCTGGCTGGGTTCGTTTTCCTGCCCATCACCCAGGATTTGCGTAGCTCCTTTACTTATTGGCGTCTTCACATTTACACTCACAGTGAGGTGGCCCATGCTGCCCTTCCCACTTCCTTTGTGGCGGTGTGTCGTTCAGACCTCCTTCAAGAGCACAGCTGACCCATGGCCCCGGTGCTGCCCCTTGGGCCCATGGCCGCTTCACACCGTGACCATGCTGCCCCAGCCCCTCCCAGGAGGACCAAGCACGTCAGCAGGACTCGCCCAGTGCAGGCCTTATTTACCGAGCTCAGTGCTCAGGTCCCCTCGGCCTGTCCACATCATGCTGTCACCTGCAGTGTGCCTGGCGTGCTTCCTGCCTGTCCTCTCTCCCTTCTCTCTCCACTCACGGGTGTTAAACCCACATGTGCCTGAGGCTCTCCTCTCACTCATTCTCTCCTCCTTGTTAGGCATTGAAGTGTGTCCCCCAGAAATCCATGTGCTGAGTCCTAACATCCAGAACTCAGACGGTGACACTGGAAGGAGGGTCATTGCAGACATGATTGGTTAAGATGAGATGAGGTCGTACTGGAGCAGGGTGGGTCCCTAACCCAAAATCACTGGCTTCATAAAAAGGGGACACAGACACGCACACAGGGAGACGCCATGTGAAGATGAAGGCAGAGATGGGGGATATCCACAGCCAAGGAAAGCCAAGGATTGCCAGCAAAACAGCAGAAGCTAGAAGAGAGCCATCCAACAAATTCTTCCTCATGGCTTCATAGGGAACCAACCTGGCAACAGCTTGATTTCAGACTTCCAGCCCCGGAACTCTGAGATGATATGTCTCTGTTGTTCAAGCCCCCACTTGTGGCATTTTGTCACAGCAGCCCTCGCAGACGGACACACTCTTCGTCTCTCACAGATACGCCCTCCAGGCAAGCTCTGTGTTTCTGATCCCTCTTTGCGTCTGCTTCTCTGAGGACCTTCAGGGACACAGTGACCTAAAGCCGCTCTGGGACTTTCTATATTAGAGACAGCAGATAGTCATGGAATTGCCTGACGAACATCCCCACAGAAGAGCTTCAGAGGACAGTGGAAATAAACTGAAGATAATTTCTGATGACATCTCATGAGTCCTGTTGATCTAGTTATCGATAGAGAACTTTGTTGGCGGCAGGAATATTGTTTTTCTGCTTGAGACCACTAAGCAGAAGAAAAACTATGTTGAGGATTCACATAATAGACATAACTGGAGTTGAGTTTTTACCCTGTAAATAATATTGTACTATATTCAATCCAACTGTCTGTATTAGGGTTCTCCAGAGAAATAGAAACAATAGGAGATATATATATGTATATAAAGAGATTTATTGTAAGGAATTGGCTCACACAATTGGCCTGGGAAGTCCATAGCCTGCAGGGAGGACCAGCGGGTTGAAGACCCAGGAGAGGCAGTGTTCCAGCTCAAGTCTGAAGGCTGTCTGCTGGAGAATTCTCTCTTGCTCAGGGAAGACAGTCTTTTTGCACTATTTAGGCCTTCAGCTGATTGGATGAGGCCCACCACATTCAGGAGAGCAATCTGCTTTACTGAGAGTCCACCTGTTTATGTATTAATCTCATCCGAAAACATCCTCACAGAAACACCCAGAATGATGTTTGACCACACATCTGGGCCCCATGGCCCAGTCCAGTTCACACATAATGTTATCCATCACATTGCTTTCCAAAGAATCAGAGAGAATTGAGCTTCCATTGAACAGGAATAGCAAACAGCACACAAAACTACGTTCTACGATACTGTCAATTCAGAGACAGAAAGTCTAAGGTTAAGGAGGGGAAAGAGAAAGGGAAGGGAGACGCGGGACAGGGGGAGGTGGGGCAGGGGGCGGCAGGCAGAGGCGGGGGTGCGGGGAGAGGCGCGAGAGAAGGAACTGCGCGCTCCGGGAGGCCCTCCCCGAGGAGCTCAGGCCGGGCTGCGGACCCCGGTTCCAGCTCCTCCTGAGATGCTGGGCCGCGGCTGTGCTCACCGGTGGTCGCAGCTCGCCGGTCTCCGAGGGGACTGGTCACAATGGTCCTACAGCTGTAGCTGTTTGGGGCGAGGGCGACCTCATTTGTGTCTCAGGGGAAATCGAACACAGACGCCCCCGCGGTTCCCTCCGTCGTCGTCAGCGAGGGCGCAGGTCTTCAGGAAGCCGCACAGCTGTTGCCTCAGTCGAAGTCCGGAACCAGGGACCCGAATTGAAGTCCTTGGCCATTCTGCTGACGAGCATGAGGCCTTGCAAAGCTTGACTCGCCCCTCAGGGCCTGGTTTCCAGCATGGAATGATGATGCTGTGGACGGTGCTCCTTCCTGAGGGTTGTTTGTGGACTGATTCCCTCTGGACACACTGGCCGCCCTGGCGAGGTGCGTGTCACGTCCGCAGATGTCCCAGTAGGGCAGGTGGGGGCAGCTGCACAGCCCGCTCTGAGCACAGACTGGAGGGGCGCGGTCCCCAGTCCACCGCGCATCTCAGGAGCCTCTTAAGCTCGTCCTTTGTGTCTCTGCTGCGTGTCTCTACCGTCTGTCCTGAAGTCGTCTCCATCTAGGGTGCTTTCATGAGGGGTGGTCCCCGTGGTCACTGCAGGGCCTGCGGCCCCAGAGCCACAGAGAAGTGACACCTTCACCCTCGAGAGGGAGGAGGGGGAATTTCTCCTCCATCACATGATCCCCAGGTAGATTACTTTTTAAATCCAGGTAGCATTTATAACAGAGCCCAGCAGAAATTTTCTAAAATCCTTATCAAATATTGAAAACTGATGGAAGAGATCTTGTGAATGTAGAATTTCTTCTGCTGGCAGATGAGCGGCACCATGGAGCTGGGCGTCAGAGACAGAAAGACTGCTTCTCAGCGACGTTACTTAAGGGGTCTAAATTTCAAGAAAATTGTTCAAGTGTTCAGTGTTTGATAAGTGATTCATCCATTTTTTCACATTAAAGATTCTGCTATAAATCCTGTTTATGTCGTTATTTCAGGAGGAAGTTTGGATTGAAGGTTTTTCCAACAATGGGAAAGCTTTTTTTTGAGCAAGTTCCAGTCTGCCAGTAGAATTCGTGGTGTTTTCTGGTGAATCACAAGATGCTGGCGGCTGTGGAAGCTCATCCTCGTGCTCGGAGGATGTCGTTGCTCCGTCTAGTCCTCCGCAGGCATCAGTGTGGCTGGCGTGTCTGTCCCTTTGTTAACACGATTTGCACAGACGTCCAGCCCAGCGTCAGCTCACCATCACTGGTTCACTTGGACTCTCCTCTCATCGCAGATTCTAGATTTTCTGGAGACCTGGAACTCAGCATCCGCCTGAGACTCGCCGAGTGCACCATCATGAGAAATAATCACGGGCGCATCCTGACGGCTT